ATATTTTTATATATATATATATATATATATATATATATATATATACAATCATACCTAGTAAATACAGGTAACTTTGAGCCCATTATATGTAACCGTAGGATAAGCAGGCTAAATGTAACAAGTGTAAGGGCGGTCAAACGTTTTGTACCCTCGCCTGACCATGCAGGTGAAATTTTATTACCACCAAAAGTCGATTTTAGTGCTAAGAAAATATCTCTTGCTCTAACCTGAATAAAGTTACAAGCATTAATATAATCTTATACTATAGAAAACATAATGAATGCACATGGAATGAGGTTTACCTTCTGTACAACAAAAATTTCATACAGTACACAAACTGCAGTTGCTGTAATTCCCTGCTCCTTGCACAACATTGCAGTAAATACAAAAAACATAGATAATATCAAGGATTTCCACCCTGTAGATCTTTTGCTTTTGCAACATTTAGTATATGTGATTAAAGCTGCCAGATAAAATAAAGAGGACAAAGTTTCTGCCCTACCAACTACGCCTGTGACCTAGGAATATAATTATGGCCATATTATCAATAACAATTGTTTGCAATAATAATTAAAATCTTTTCAAAATAATTAAAATGTTATTACATACTGCTTCTGTATGTATAGGATGCACAGCAAAAAATAAAGATGACACAAAACTTGCTGCTTCTGGCAGAAACATCAAACAGGTCCTGTAAACAATTTTTCTGCTATTTCTTTTTTTCTATTATTTGAAGCCTTACAGAAATAATTTTCTTTAATTTTGTTGCAAAAAATAAAAATAAAAAATTGATGTAAACCAACCTGAAATATAATAGGCATACTCCAACATGTAGAATAACATTTAGCAGGTGGTATCCCATAGGATCTAGTTGATGAATCAAGTAATTCCATCGGAATGTGAGAACGCAAAGAGGTCTATAAGACTTGTGCGATTGTTCCTATTAAAAAAAAAGGAGAAAAATAATTGATCAACTTGGAACAATTTTATGTATTTAATTAATGTAATTAATGCAACACTTTTGTTGCAATTATTGTAAAAAGATAAAAGTATCTAGGAAGATGATGTTCTGCAAATATTTTACACATTAAATCATTTTTTTTTTTAATAATATTTAAATAATGTAGCTCATACTTGTTTAATTTTTTTCTTATTTAGAATAAAAAATATTTCTGATTCTTCAAATATTTTTATACAATGTATACAACCTTCAACAATGTATTATTTTCTTTACAAAATAATTAAAAAATTGTAGATGACAAAAAAAATCACAAAACAAAATTGCATACATTCTCTAGCCTCTACAATTTTTTTCGATTATCTAGAACTTCAAATATTTTGTTTTAAATATTTTGTTTTAAATTAAATCAAAGGTATATAACGTGCTCAACGATGACAAAAAATTTAATATCGTTGATTATCAAGTATAATTTTAAAATAGTGTTGTTATTATACTAAAATAGAATTTTCTTGCATCTTTTTTATTTATAACGTAAATCGATATAAAACAGTTTATTCTATTTTGTTAAATTCATATAAATTGTATTATTATCGATATTATAGATATAGAAAAATATTTATTTGTTAACATATGGAAAAATAGAAGATAATTATTTATTTATTTCTCGGGAAATTAACGTGTTCTAAATCTGAATTTCTTGTTGAAGCTATACGTTGATTTCGAGAGAACCGATTCAGGGCTCTTGAAATCGATAGAATTCTAGTGACATCAATTGTCGAGGAACGAAGATAAGTAAAAATCTAATATTTGCCAATCGCCAAAAGCAAACACGGGGGATCATTCTCGCGTGATGCGAGAGGCAAAAATTCGAGATTTTCGAAGCCACATCGATTTCGATCCCCGCTCCATATCGAACGATTCCGGGGATATGTGGAAGGGCAGAAGATGAGGGAAACGGAAGAAGACAGGATGGGAGATCGGATCGGGATGAAATGGACAGGACGCTCGCGGATCAATACGCAGGGGGCCATCTATAGAAGAGGGAGGGTGAAGGGAGGAGGGAGATCTCGGCCGCGCGTCCTCCAGCAACGGGAGTCGGACGATGCCTCCTCTTTTTCTCTCCCTCTCACTTCCTCCCCCCTTTCTCTCTCACTCTCTCTCTCTCTCTCTCTCTCTCTCTCTCTCTCTCTCTCTCTCTCTCT